GGATTGCCTGTATGAGACCTAAATCCAAGGCAGGCAGGGTTTAAGGGTGGCAGAGATCAGAATGACCCGATAGCTTCTTCAAGGTATTCCCAGCTGAGCCGACCTGGAGGTCATATCAGAATCTGGGGGCAGAGGACAGGCAAGTGTATATACGAAACCTTCCCCAGGTCACCTTGAGGTGGCCTGGTGAAAGCCCTCATTTGAGGGCCTTCCTAGTCAACTGGGCTCCTGTTCTTTTGGGGAGGGAGGAGGGAGCAGGGGACACTCCCAGTTCTCAGGTTTACTAAAGTGTTTTACTGACAGAGTTGTTTGTTTTCTGGTCCCACCACCTTCCCCAAAGAAACAAGGCCCCAGGGCAGGTTGCTAGAGGCCCCATCCCCATCAGCAGACCCATAAGGGGTGAGTGCCAGGTCGTCTGAAGGGAAACTCAAAGGCTGGGTTCTGTGTTTCTGGGAAAAAGCAGAGTTCGAACCTACCTTCACAAAGTACCTCAGCTCTGACGGGATGATGAAGATATCTGGGGTGACAGGCAGCTGTGCGTAGACATAGAATGTCTCGTAGTCAATGGCCATGTCTTCTTGGGGCGGATAGAGCGGGTAGTAGCTACAAAGACAGAGAAAAATGGTCAGCAACAGTTGACCAAGGGGCCCCCTTCTCAGACAGAGTCCCCCTAGGTACTGGCTTCTGCACTGCTGGTATCCACAGGCCAACTTTCTCTCTCTCTCTCTCTCTCTCTCTCTCCCCCTAGGTACTGGCTTCTGCACTGCTGGTATCCACAGGCCAACTTTCTCCTCTCCCTCTCTCTCTCTCTCTCTCTCTCTCTCTCTCTCTCTGTGTGTGTGTGTGTGTGTGTGTGTGTGTGTGGTGGGGTAGGGGGCAGAATGCAGGCTTGTCATCACAGAGTAAAGTGAAGGCCCTTACAATCATGCCTGTCATAGTGCCATGACCCCAAGGCACTGTCCACAGTCGGGGGTCCCAGTGGCAAGCTCACCTCCTCTGGGTCAGGATGTGCTTGAGAATTCGGCTGAATCTGTCTGAAGTTCCAGAAGAACTGGGAAAGAAAGGAAAGTGTGAACACAGAACCCTGTTTTTCAGCCCATTCTCTTCAGGGAGGATGGGAGAACTTAATAAACCAGAGAGAAGCTAAATGGCCAAGGCCCAGTGACAAGAGGCTGCCTCTGGGGAAGATTAAGGACCCACCCACAAGGAGCTGGGTCTGTTCCCACATGAGAAGGGACACAGAACAGTGGATTGAGAAATGAAAGCACAGGAATCCCTCATAATCAAGATCGAGGAAGGCCATTAGCCAGCACCACACTGGGCAAAAGGATGCAAAGTTGCACCACCGTGACACAGGCATGTAGCCAGGCTGACCCAAATCTCAAACCTCAGACAAGGAGCCACACCCATCTCGCTAAACACGCGATTCTCTTCACATGCCCCTTCCCATCAAGGATGATGGCAGATTGGAGCTGCCTAACTTACTCAACAAATTCTCTGCAGAGCTGGATATTGTACTGGAAACGAAGACCCTTCAGAGAAGGTCACAAATTTGGGAAATAAATAAAAGGGGAGCAGAAAAGAAAATATAGATGAATTTCGATGCCTTTAAGTGCAAAGACAGAATGGACATGGCTCTTTGGGGACTCAAATGCAGTTTAGAGAGGTGGTAACAGAAACTAATGCATCCAACCCCTCCCCTTGGGTAGAGAGAAACTCAGATGGCCAGAGTCTGACACAACTTGATGACTTCAGGACTCTCTGGTCAAGACCGTCAAGAAGCCCCTTGATTTTCTTGGCTGCAGAAAGGGCTGGGACCAGAGAGCCAGTCGTCCTGCTTGGGGGTCTGGAACATGCCTCTGACCTACTGATCTCCTCGGCCCCAAGGTGGAACAGCAGATCTGTGGACGTCAAGCCGAAGATCACTCCGTTTATGGAGAGGCTGCAGGGCTCCGACACAAAGTGTACTTGCTAAAATGAGAACCGGTTGAAACAAACATTTGTATACCAAAGCTAGAAACATCTTCCCATGAAAGTGGGGGTTGTCTGAGGGCTGGGGGGATCATGGAAAGGGGGACCAAACCAACATACTGCAAACTTATAAACACATTATCCTGTTTAAAAAAAGGAGTGTAAGATTCAGGCTGTAGGCATGCCTTAAAGAGGCCTCTCCACCCTCCCCTTCAGGGCCAGGGCTGGTGGCGAAGGCATGCTGGATTCTGGCGGCCTGCTGGTCAAGGAGTGGGTACTGCTACCTTTTTGTCCTCTCGAGACAGATCGGAGTAGCTGAAAGGTGGCTGGGGGTACACAGGCTCATGGTGCACATCTCTCAACGATGGGACAAAGACAAGGTGGGAGCCGGAGCTAGTATGTCAAAAGAACAAACAGAAGAGAGAGAAAAGCGAATGGAGTTGAGTTAGAACAGCTGGGCACCAGGCGGGATGCGTCAGGGCTGGAGGCAAAGAGCCCACTCCCAGGGAGGTAGCTCAGAATTACACTCTGTTGTGAACAGAGATGCTGTTTCCCATGGGACCCTGGGAGTGAAGGACAATTTGTTCTAATTCACACCCATCCATCTGGACGAGGCTCAGATGGCCTGAGACACTTTCTTGTTGCTCTGTGTGGCTCTCTACTGAGAGGATGGAGACTATTGTTTGGCAGAAAAAGGGGAGAAGAAATTGAGATCTAGAAAATCTAGAAAGACAAGGATGTGAATAAAGAATCACAGCCTCAGAGCCAGAGTTTAAACCACAGCTCAGACTCATTACACCTTCTATGCAGGTGTAGCTTGCAGGCATTAAACAGTCTCCCTGCCACACCCTGGTAGAACGCAGGGAGCTGGGGCATCTTTCCTAGGGAGAAGGCAGGCATGCTAAAAAGACCTTGAGACTGCTTTTGTATTTTTTTTTTTTGAGACAGAGTCTTACTCTGTCGCCCAGGCTGGAGTGCAGTGGTGCAATCTGGGTGCACTGCAACATACATCTCCTGGGTTTAAGCAATTCTCGTGTCTCAGCCTCCCGAGTAGCTGTAACTACAGGTGCACACCACTACACCCAGCTAATTTTTGTATTTTTAGTAGAGACGGGGTTTCATCATGTTGGCCAAGCTGGTCTCGAACTCCTGGCCTCAAGTGATCCACCCATCTTGGCTTCCCAAAGTGTTGGGATTACAAGCGTGAGCCACCGTGCCCAGCCTGCCTTTGTATTTAGATCCAGCTGAAACCTTCTGGCTGACTAAACACTGGACCACAATCACTGGACGACCAAGATATAGACATTTCTAGCAGGATGTGGCAAAGCACAAGCGACCTCTCCCTGAGCCATCGCACCCCTCCCCTTTCACACATGGAAGTAATGCCCTGATTTTCAATTTCTCAGAGGGCTGCCTTGCAAAAATGAAAGAAATATTTAACAGCAACAGTAAAAGCACAGATGACAGCAGATGTTTCTTTTGATAGAGGCAGGAGAATCTCTAGGGTTACAACATACAAATAAAGAAAACAGTTTTAACTATTTTTCCCAGCCACACAAAAGAGAAAAAAATCCGTTTCCTTGGTTCCCTTAGCTGACCTTGGCAGAGGGGTCTTTTATAAATCAAATAGGCATAAAGTGTTACTTTGCAGGCATGTTTAAAATCCACCAATAACTCTCATTTCCATCTCCTTCTCTTGCTTAAAATGTGTAGACTTCCCAGATGTACGCACATTTGCACATGTGATAAAGGTGCTGGTGACAGCTGTCACCCCATCACTGTTTGTGGTGTCCTCTCAGAGTATGAACTGAGACTTCTACAAAAGAAAAGCAGACTTCTGAGACCAAAGGTGTTTGCATATTCATTATAGTCCCTTTGACACTGAGAAGCTCACTATGATGCTCCAGTCCACCATTTGGGTGCCAGGGTCTGGTAAACAGGCCACGGGGTAACCTGAATGGCACAATCTGTGCTCCAGATCTCAAGGGCTTGACGTCTGTGATGAACACAAAGGGCTGAGGTGCAGCTGGCTGCTGTCCAGGGACAAAACTGCCCTATTTCAGTGTAGGCTTTGGAAGAGCAATAGTTAATGAGGAAATAGCCTTCCTGCACATGGTTAGAAACTGGCTATAGAAGGAGGGATCAGAAAAAAATCCCAACTATGCTCAGCATTGCACAACCTCATACGTCATTGTGGGAGGGTCCTCCAGCTGCTCCCACAAACAGGACGAGAACTGCAGGCTCTGCTTGCTTCCTCTGAGGTGCTTTCTCACTGGCTCTGGCTTATTTATTTATTTATTTATTGACATGCAGTCTTGCTGTCACACAGTCTGGAGTGCAGTGGCGCAATCTTGGCTCACTGCAACCTCTGCCTCCCAAGTCTAAGCGATTCTTCTGCCTCAGACTCCTGAGTAGCTGGGACTACAGGCACCCACCACCAAGTCTGGCTAATTTTTGTATTTTTAGTAGAGAGGGGTTTTGCCGTGTTGGCCAGGCTGGTCTTGAACTCATGACCTCAAGTGATCTGCCCATCTTAGCCTCCCAAAGTGCTGGTATTACAGGCATGAGCCACAGCACCCTGCCTGGCTCTGACTTTTACTAATGATGAATCAGCTTAATGCTCTGCATTTCTGACCTCTCAGGAATACAAAGAAATTCTCTGCCCAAGGACCATTTATATACTGTTTCTAGAAGGGTGGGGCAGCTCCCCTGCCCTGTGGCACACACTGGCCATAGATGAAAGTGCCTGGTGGTGCTGGGCTCTCACCCCCAGTGGAACAATGCCTCATCTGTGCTTTCTTTCTATCACTGCTGTCAATACCACATGGGGTAAGGAACCAAAAACAGAACCCAACCTCAAACTGAAAGCACCCAGCCAGAGTTAGGGCACTACGACACAGTCCCTCCCTGTTCCCAAGGGCTGACAAACGGAGAACACAGCCCTGCTCATGTGTTTTGGGGGCTTATCTCCTGAGGAGTTCTAAGCACTCTCCAGCCTTGATGAACTTGATCAGGATCACACACATCTGGGGAAGAAGAGGGAAGGCACTTGTGTCACCTTCATTAGAGGGAGGGAGGGAGAAAGGGGCAGAACCAGCCATTGTTGTCACCAGCATAACCCAAGTCTCTGATTCTGGGGTGAGTTGGGGGTGCTCTTTATTCCAGCTGTGACGCCTGCCATCCTGGCCCACGCTGCTGGTTCAAGAAGGTAGTGTTAGCCAGGCGTGGTGGCTCACGCCTGTAATCCCAGCACTTTGGGAGGCTGAGGTGCGTGGATCACCTGAGGTCAGGAGTTCAAGACCAGCCTGACCAATATGGTGAAACCCCATCTTTAAAAAAAAAAAAAAGGTAGTGTTACAAGTTAGTGACTCTGGGGTAAGTTCCCACAGCTACAAGGTGGAAGATTAGACATCTTGTTTTAAAAAACCACCTTTATGATAGACTTGTTTTTAAAAGCTTAGCCTCAGGAACATTTTATTAGCTCAGCTACAGGTACACAGATCTTGGGAGGAGGCTTACCACCTATACCAACTTCTTTCAACCCCGGCACTGGGGGAAAGGGACAGGAACGGAGGATGTCAGGTTTCTGAATAACTTTCCACTCCCGGCTTCAGCCTCTTCCCGGAACAGTGACTTTCCTCTCAGATGGGAACTGCACAGCTCTCGCTTCACTGCTGTGACTTCTCACAGTTCCTTCCGTTTGGTCTATGGCAAGGATTCAAGGCCCCACCCTCACTGAGAGTTTCTACCACCACTGGTTCTAGCCACTGGTGGTGTCCCACGTACCCTGGGGAAGCACTGACTTGGGAGGAACTTGGGCTCACCCAAAACAATCGCTTACACAACCAGATGTTTTGGGTCTCACAGGATTTCACTGTGTAAGTCACCAAACACTTCTCAAAACCATCCTGGGAAGATTCCCGTGGAATATTAGTTTATACAAGAGGGAGTGAGAAAAGGAACTAAGTATAGAAGAAAAAGAGCAATGGAAGAGTGAGACCTTGTCCTTTCAAGTATGTTTATCTTTGTGTTTTACAAAAATGCCTCTTAACTTGGTGACCGCACTTGAAGTTCAAGGGTTCTATCTGATCTCAGTAATTCAAAAAGAAGAAAATAGGAAGTGCCATGATCTTTTTTTTTGGGACAGAGTTTCACTCTTGTTGCCAGGCTGGAGTGCAATGGTGAGATCTTGGCTCGCTGCAACCTCCACCTCCTGGGTTCAAGTGACTCTCCTGCCTCAGCCTCCCAAGTAGCTGAGATTACAGAGATGCACCACCATGCCTGGCTAATTTTTTATTTTTAGTAGAGATGGGGTTTCATATGTTGGTCAGGCTGGTCTTGAACTCCTGACCTCAGGAGATCCGCCTGCCTCAGCTTCCCAAAGTGCTGGGAGTACAAG